GTAATCTATCTGCAGCAATTAAAAGGCTTCAATGAGATCCATTTTCTTGGAACTGGTACATGTACTATTAAACCCCTTTGGTTGTTTCAGGGATTAGCCATAAATCTACATTGATACAACAGCGAAATTGAGATAAGTATTTCAAGGAGAAGAATCAGTTGGTTAGAGTTTCATGTTTCAAGTTCATTGGTGCTATTGACATTTCAAGAACTCCCATTGTATATCAAGGCAAAGAAAAATACAATGGTCATATGTTCATATTATGTAAGAAATGCTAATTAAGATCCATATGTTCACCCAAAATATGCCCTACAACCTGATAATTTAATGCCCACAGTATGTGTTTTAGGCTCATTCTTTTTCTGCATAGACAAAAGGTCATTTCACCAGGCCCGCAGATGAGACGAGACTTATGGAACAAGAGTAAAAGAGAAGATAACCAATCACCTGCTTTGGCCTTTCTTTGTTCTTCTTCTTCCGACTAATTAACGTCCTTAACCAATCTCCAGTACCCATCCTCTTGAAGGCAGCTAAACTTTATGTCTAACGTGTCGAATGCAAAACCTGCAAGAAATTTTTTTTAATGTTAATATGATCTCCCTGAAAAAATAATATAAACCTCATCATGTGAAAAGATTAGAAGACCATCTCGAGTGAGATAAAATAAAGGCAGAGCAAATTGGTAAAACATGCAGAATTCAATGTGCCAGGCATTTGGAAAAGTAAATCAAGGCATGAAAATATGAAGAAATATGATTTTTGTATAATAGATTACAACAAGGCATGTCAATAAAAGTTGTGCATGATTTGATAACTACTTACCGCTATGGCTAAAAGGGAAGCATGCAAAAGATGCATAAGTAAAACTGTAATTCATTAGGGTATGTCTATGAACCAAATTTTCAGATGTAAGAAAAGAATAATGTCACTTCATTATGAGAAAAGCGTAATTGGTAAGTAATCAAGTGCTTGCAAGATGAAAAGCATTAGACCACAGGGACGAGATTTCCAGGGACACAAATAAAATAACCTTAATTGTTCATATACCAAACCATTTTGTTTTTCCTTTGCAGGAATATTGAATTTCATGCAGATTAATTGTCCACAATTTCTCAAACTATATGAGCTGATTATATTAGAAATACTCCCAAATATCCTAACAAGTGCACCTAACATCGAAGTTGTCCCAAGCAACCTTCCTTTCCCTTTCGTAGTTAAAAGAATGTAAGATTTATTTCAGTACAAAGTTTTTTTATAACAGCTTATCTCACTAGTTCTTTTTTCACTGTGTCAAACATGTAAATCAAAATATGATTCCAGAAAAGATAGCTTAGAAAAAATCGCAAAACCAAAACTCTCTAAAGTAGCTCTCCACAGTGAACCCTCTCAAAGACTAAAAAAAGCATCTCAGAAGAATTCACTACTCAATTTATGATTCAAAACCAGACAAAGCCGCAGCAGAACTTCGACAGATGAACTAATACATTCCAGTTTCTTCATGTGATTTCGGATAAGTATTATAAAACTCCAAATTAATTTCTAACAAAATACTTTATGAGCATCCGTGGAATAAAAATCCATTACAGATTGGAAGCAACAAGATCACAGGAGGCCTCAGCTGCGGAAAATTCCATGTCCAAATATACAGATGACGATTGAATTAAAATCGAAAAAAATGATTTACTGATCAATTTATGAAACCAGATTTTGTATAAATCTTCAACAAACCAACATTAATACGACAAAAGAAATATGGCATCCGATAAACACAAGGACAAGCTGTAGCAAAGTAAATTGCAATAGACAAATTATGAAGATTGCCTGGATAATTCAAGGAACAGATTGCACATAAGAACAATATTGACCAATTTAGATAACCACCTTAATATTCGCCAAAATCACCGATAAAGCAACCTTCTTCGCACTCGTCAGATCAAGTCCCTGAACAAAAGATGAACTCAATCGTCAAGGTGATCCCAACAACTCCGATCAGAACTGCTCTGTGAAGAAATAGAAAGATCAAAGAGAAGGAACAGCGGCAGTACCTAAGGAGCAGCAATGGAGAGGGGAAAGAAGGAAAGATCAGAGATGACAGGGAGCTTTCACAAGAGGAGGAGGAGTCACTGTGGCAGCAGACAGAAGTCACCGAGAAGAAGCAATGCTGATAAGCCGTAGCAAGCAAAGGAGGGCAGGTGGGTGGGTGAGTGGGGTAGAGGCGGAAAGCCACCGCCATGGCCCAGACCTACATCAGATCACCTCCGTCTCGAAGATTTGAATTGGTCTTGCGGTGCCCATTCTCTCGCCTCTCTCACTGGCTCAGGAGGATCCAAAGATAACATCATTTACTTCAGCCGCCGACATCAGCCACAATTATTATTATTATTATTATTATTATTATTATTATTATTATTATTATTATTATTATTATATAAACTATAAGTTAGTCATTTATATTGTGATGATTTCTTTAAAAAATATTCATATTTTAGATATTTCTTAATCGACACTGTCATTTTATTTTTTTAAATAGTACTCCTAATTTAAAATACTTAAATTATTTTTAAATTTTTTTACTTATTATAATGCTTTGATCATTACAATAAAAAAATTATAAGACCTACTCGAAAATACTATAAATGATCTAAATGAAGTCATAAAGAATATTTCATGCAATATTTTTTTTAAAATATTTTCTATTCAACATATGCTAACATGGTGATTAATAATTAAATATTTTTATTTCAAACTTATGGTTGAAATGTGTATCTTATTTCTAGAAAGCTTTACATTCAAGCAAATGCTATTATGATATCAACTTTCATGTTGTGATTAAGATATACTATCAAGAATGTAAATAGTCAACACCACTCAAACTTACTTAAAACCCAAGCAACAAAAAAATAAAGATCACAAGTCATAATGATTGATTCAATTATGGTGTTGAGATTTTTTTAAAAAATAAAAAACTTATTATACGTACATAACATTTACACATGAATTTAAATATACGATCTATCATTCACGTAATAATACATTAATCAATTCAGATGTCTCGACACATATAGATGTTAGAATATTTTATCGTTATTTAACTTTTTAACAAATAATCTTATTAGTTAAGTTAAAAAAATTAAACTATTTTTTATAGTTTTTAGTATTATCTTATTTTTCTAATTACAACAACTATAGACTTTCTTAGTTAATGATTGTATCATCTTAAATAATTTTTTATCATTATATCATTCATCCAAGTATACATAATCATTTATATTTTTTAAAATTATTTTCGTAATTATATATTTATGAAATTAAATTAATAAATTCAGCTAGCACAGAAGCAAAAAAAAGATGACCACTGAAATGACTTGTAGCATCACAAAATAAACGGTGGACTAATTGTTAAAAAATCTATAAAATATATCTAATAAAATTTTTACTTTCACAAAAAAAAACATATAAAATTTATAAATTGAAATGAATAAATCTGATATTTCAGTTTTCTATGAGAATATATATATATATATATATATATATATATATATATATATATATATATATATATATATATATCTTTTTCTTTTTCTTTTTATTACTGCGGAATCTCTTCTTCTCTTTCCACTTTGAATACTTCTTTTTGCCACCCTCGCCGGAGCTCTCTCTATTGGGTGGATGGCTTTCCACCACTCTCCTGATAAGATGAAGCAATCAGGAACGTGGAAGCATACTACCCACCCACGTCTCCACCACGGCAATCTCACCGTCTTCCCAACCCATCCCCTCGGTAACGTGGACGCATACAGTCCGCGCGTACACAAGTCTTCTCTCTCCTCCTTCCCCAAGCCAATGATAATAACCCCTTCTGAACTCCCACCGTAGCTCGTACCTTCGCCTCCGTAACGCCACCGCTGACGAGCGTACTGATGGCCTCGCCGACCCACTTCATCCTCCCGGTTCTTCTCCTCGCCGCTCATCTTCTCGGGTCCCGAGCCGTTCCTCCGACGTGCGAGCGCATCGAGTGCCCGAGCTACGACGTGGTCGACAAAGGCAACGGTTTCGAGATTCGCCTTTACAACTCCACCCAGTGGATGTCGACCTCTTCCATAGACGACATCTCCTTCGTCAACGCCACCCGGACGGGCTTCCTCCGGTGAGCCTTCGAGTAGTAGTGGCCGTCTTCAAACGTTGGGCATTCGGATTTTTTGTTTCTTTTATGAAAATAAAAATATATTATTATTACTTCACAGGAATTCTACTGATTCGTATCCAACCACATAAATATTGTGTACATTAATTATTCTTTAGGATATATATTTTTTATGTCCTTCCAACTTCATAATGATTTGTATCACTTGAACAGATTATTTGATTACATCCAAGGGAAGAACAAATACGGAGAAAAGATAGAGATGACTGCACCGGTGATCACCCAAGTCGCACCCAGCGACGGTCCCTTCTGTGCCTCCTCCTTCGTCGTCAGCTTCTTCGTGCCTAAGAAGAACCAGCCAAATCCACCGCCTGCCGACGGACTCCAGCTTCAGACATGGGGGCTCAAATACGCAGCCGTGAGGCAGTTCGGAGGCTTCATCTCGGATGGCGACAGCGTCGGTGAGGAAGCGGCGGCCTTGTACTCCAGCCTTCAGGGCTCCATTTGGTTCTCTGCGGTCAGCAAAGGACAGACGGCAGATCCCACCTCTGCTTATACTGTTGCGCAGTACAATTCTCCGTTCGAGTTCTCCGGTAGAGTCAATGAGATCTGGATGATGTTTGCGATGGACAGTCACAGAATTTAGATCGAGGCGAGTCAATGTTTCAGAACATGTATATGTCGGTGTGTAATGTATTATGATATATCGGTATCGATCGTAAATGCATGCCGACAGAATCATACTGTAGTCTCTTGTAGAGAGTGGGAGGATGAATGCAATTAGATTCATCGTATCGACACCAAATGGAACATCCAAAAGAACAATCCACTGACTCGTATGAAGAAGGTGAAACAATAGTCAGTCTCTCTCTCTCTCTCTTCCATTTCTTATCCAACAAGACTACAAAGAAATCGAGAATCTCTACTAAATTACTTGGATTCTGAAGATTAGGCACGCCTCATTAGATTAAAAAGACATGAGACGGAGTCGAATTCAGCTCGATGATCAACAAGCACAACTCAGCTGCACCCGAGAAACTAAGAGAAACTAACATTGTCCCAAAATCCAGAAGATACAGCAAGGCCGGTCATCTCTTCTGGGATCGCTCCCATTGACCAACTACATATGCGGCTGAAGCAGCACGGCCACAGTCAATAATCCTTCCTTTATGTACGCTGCCGGCTCGTCAAGGCAGCATCGATCGATCCATGACACAACCTGTGCTCTCTGGAAAGAATCTCCTCTGCAGCCTGGAAGGCGTGAATTTTGCCCAAGATATGTTGTTGCCATCTACATGCTCTTGTTCGTAGAACGTGCCAAAGAGAGAAGAGATAGTACCATCAAGGCTGGTATTGTCTCCGTAATCCGTCATGCTAAACGAATCCCGGGTGCCCTCGGTGGTAAAGGATGAGTCGTCTGAGCTTGTAAAGAAAGTCCAGTCGCTCGATGTAGCATCAGAAAATTCTGTGCCTGATGTATCTGGATATCTTCCATTTGGCAGGAAGTTTCTGCTCGTGGGCCTCGGGAAGAATTCATCAGCATCCTCGGTGAGATGTTCATTTTCTTTTCCAAAACCGTTTCTCTGGTGCGATGAGTTCTCTCGGGCAAATAATGTCTCATTTCGTCTTTGTTGCGCATGTTTTGATGTTTTCTGGCTCTTTGGTATACTAGTTGGAGGCCTCAATAGCCTTTTCTCAGCATAACCTCGTGGGGGACGTGGAAAAGATCTGCAGGATTGGATGGATTTAGCAAGTTGATGTGTACTAATCCACCATTCCACCAAAACAGACTTAACATACCTTGAATAGAAAAGCATGTATGCACCTTCGGACATCACTTGACTCAATGTTACTGCTTGCACCTGTTTTAAGCAAGAGATTAGATCATATAAAAGTAACCTGAAATGCTTGCATCTGTTTTGAGTTAAATATGCGAGTATAATCAAAGTAGTTTTTGTAATCATGAATCAACTCATCCATAAAACAACTTAAGGTACGAAGGATGTCCAATCTCAACTCTACATCAACCTTCTCACTGACCAGTTTGTGTACTTGAGATGGGATTTCACATCTCCCTATCAGCCCTGGTTAAATCAAGACATTTCTTGCTCTAAGAAGCTCCTCATAAAAATGAGGTTCCTAGCTCACTCTTAGGTGCATTTATAGAAAATGAGATTGAAGGAGTCAAGATTTCTAATTTTGGATACCAAACCAGTATTGTCCTGGCATGACGTATGCGAATGCGACCTATACGTGATGCCAATACGGTCTGCCAATATATACCTAGTTTCAGATTTATCCTGAAAAGAAAGTGAAAAAAAAATAAAGATGTCATCTAGTACAACCCCTATACCGGATGATACAGATTCTGTATCGGACAATACAACTCCTATACCGGATGATACAAACCTTTTACCAGGTGTACCACTTGGTTATTCCTGGTCCGCGTGCCAATAGGCTGTCGGACCAATAAATACTACCCGTCCTGGATGGTATTTGCAAAACTTTGAAGGAATCCACACTTCGAAACCACTACGAATTCACCATATTCTTAAAGGCTCAACATTGGCACGACTTCTGAGATTTTGAAGCAGTGTTTACAGAAAATTCTCACCGATGATTATATATAGTCATTAATTATCATGTATATAATCATTCCCCAACATGTATATATTGGAATGGCCTTTTTGCCTGTACATTTATAGCTTTTCCTATGTCTAATAATCCTTTAACCTGAATTGCATCAGGAAACCTGATACAATACTAACTATGCAGTAAAGAAAACTGTCAATATCCAGAAGAGATGACAGAAAAATTGGAGTATCACAACATTGTTTTCCTAATGTTGTTCATCAACCAGTCACGTAACAGTACAATGACATTTATGTTCATTCAGAAATACATGTTTCAAAATCCAAGCAATAAAACACACAAGACATGTATTGTAAAATGAAGCATAATATATTCAAACTGAAATGTTCAATATGTGTAGATAATGCAAAATAGCAATCTACCTATAGCAATCCTGATAAGAAATGAAATGTTCAATAAGTTGTGTAGATAAATTTATCAGAATAGAACCAACAACAAATAGCATTTCTGATCAACGAAAAGAGAGAGGCATCAACGATACACTAGTAATGCCATAAATCCAGTTTGTGAAGCTTTCTTTATTAATGATCACCATTAAGCTGGGGGAAATAGTAACAAATGATATCCAACATAAACTGATATAATAAACTCTAGTTACCTGAGAATCGTCAATTCTGAACCATGTTCCTTCCAGATCTTTAATGTATGAAATATAGTGCCCAGAAAATGATGCATTTTGTGCATCCAAATGCACAACAACAGCATACAACAGGTAAATGGGAGGATTGTCAACAGTCCCAGTCACAAATGGAACCATGTCCAGCATGTCAGGGAAGGTAACACACTTATTAATTTTGCCATACTTCCCTGTCTAATTAAGCAAAATAAACAACACGTTATATAAGAAACGGGGTCAGAATACAAAGAAAAGATCTAATAGAAGTTAAATTATTTTTATAGGCTAATGTTACTCACAAGAAGTCTTGTCAACAATATGCAAGGCCATTTAATAATTGCTTTCGAAGTATCTTTTGAACATAGATATTGTGCAATATCATCATGTATTACACACAACAGAAGGACTAATCATACATGAATTTTAAAAGAAACCTGAAATGGCATATGGAATAAATGTTGATAGACTGGACAAGAACCAATCATTTATGTTTCACATGACAAATGACATTCCACAGACACACAAAGCAGTTACTTTAAGGCATAAACTAAAGTCTATCAACATAGAAAAAAGATGGCTCGGTGCAGAAGGCTCCTGCCGTGCGAGATCTAGAAATGATCAATATATACAGCCTTGTTCCAGCATAAACTAAAACTAATGTACTCAAGAACTTAATACCTGGAATCTCTTCAAAACTATAGTTAGTATGTTTGGCACCTCATGTACACTCAACTGCTTTCTGGCTTTAACGTATGCCGAACACCTATGTTTCAAAAATAAGAATATAATCAGCTGGGACAAACAACAAATTCGGTTCAGATGCACGAATAAGGACTATTGACCAAACCTTCCACATCTGTACATGTTGTCTCCATCTAAATCCTCGGGAGCAGTAAATTGAGTGAGAGCATCTTCTAGTGACTCAACCCAACCGTGTATCTCCAGTGTAAGATCCATAATGCTCTCGTATCGTTCAGACTCAATATGGCATCTTAGGCATTTAACCTTCATTAGGACTAATTGTCAGTTATAATTGAGGAGATCATACTGAGCTAACAAATATATATATATATATATATATTGCATCAAAGCGATAGTTAGATCAATACCTTTGATTTGAGGCGACCACCAAATATCTGTTGTATGAGTGTGGTGTCTTGCAACCTTGGATCAACTTCCTTCTCACCACCCATTCCTTGGAGGAAGACAGATTGCATGGACATAACTAGAAGCCTGGTTGTTTTGGAAAAGATGCATCAATATGACTGCTGTTGAAGGTAGCTGTTTGAAATTGTATGTAGACAAATCTAACTAGAATACGAGACTGGAATGAATGATGCTAAACCTAATCCCACCATTCCATAAAACTAAACACAGTCCATGATTTCAGACTCTAGAGCCAAGAGGAGTTCCTCAAGTAGGTTTAGGTCGGGTTAGGGCATATTTTCCAAGTTATTATCAGTATAAAAATAAAACAACAAATTCAGTCCCTTTCTGGGATAGCTTGACTCATATTTAACCTATCCAAGGCTGGAACCAGACCCAGCATCAACAAGTCCAGTCTAACTGGACCCAAGCTTACTGACGCTCACTACCCTTCTTAAGACTAAAGATCAGTCTAGCTTGCCTAGACTATTGCATCCCTCTTCTGAACTAACTGATATGCAAAAAACTTTGACAGAAACAAATAAAGAAGCACTAAAGAAGAGGCAGGTTCATTTGCTACACCTCAGGAATTCATGTGCATCTTCTTGGTCACCACCACCCATGCGACACCCGATATTTTTCATGTTTGAAAGGATCCTACTGGGAGATAAAGGACCACCTCCTTCCCGCAACATTGAAACATATTGCTCAAGTTCGCAAATGAGGCACCATTCTTTGACACGACCTAAACAATGAAGAATAATTGAGCTGAAGAAACCCAAATAAAGTAATAAAACTTCTGATATTGTTTGATCATTAAAACAAGTACTAGAGTCAAAATTACAGCTTTTTGAATGCAATCTCCGAAGTAGGAAGATCCTAAGAGGTTTTGTGCCAGTCAGACATTGCAAAACAGCATTAGCATAGCAACTGCAATGAATACAAAGCTATAGAAGTTATATAGAGAAATTGTTAGAGAATATTAGAAATAGTAATAAAATTAATCAGTATTTTCTAAAAGTGCAATATGATTTTGGAACAGACTAGGCACATGGACCACATGCCCAAAGCCATAACATTAAGATGTATAAATCTTCATTGCTGTTGTGATGTACTTAAGGACTAATTATACAAATCGGTAAACTCAAATAAGTTGCAAACCCATTCACTTGCTCTTAATAAATGTATACCATCTGAAGTATTATTTTGAAACATGAAGCATGCTATTTTATTTAAGACAGAATTTATGAAGATCTACAGGTTACTGATGCTCCATATGCTAGGAACGCAGCGATGTCCCTAAGCATATCGAACACCAAAGTCTAAACCAATTAGAAGAGATGCATCTATGCAACACTAGACATTCATGTTAAACAATCCAAAGGTCCAAACACTGTTCCAAAATAGTGTTCTAAAGCATAAGTTTTTACCTGCCACAGATTTCTGCTTATCAAATCTAGATTTCTTCGAGTTAATCAATTGGCTGGTGTACATATGTTGCACATGCACATGAAGAACTTACGATGACCATATTTTGCATAATAGATGATAAATCATGGATTCAAATAAGGATTCAATTTAATAACATAAGCATCACAGTTAATAAAATAAACTGCATAAATGGATAATAGCCAAGGGGCAACAATCATCTCTTTGCATGATGTACATAGATACTCCAGCAACATGACACGAGTGATTAATGTTTACAAATTCAGGTTCAAACTGACAAATTAGATATCAAATCAAGCTGAAGACAATCCAACCTTCCAGAAATTGAGATTCCACTAGAAAGAATCATTCAAATGAAAAAACTTTCTAATGCATACCTATTTCCACAATTAAAAAGCCCCCTAGGATATATGTACTCTTCTTCACATTGGAAAAACTTGACAACATCCTCATAAGGAAACAACACCTGACAAACCTGATGTTTCAGAAAACAAAAGTCAGAAATATGTTAAACCAAAGAAATTCATGATTTTAAATCTAAAGAACAATCAATTAATTAATTAATTAAAACATACCTTAGTTTTCTTATTGTCATTTCTCAATCCAACAAGATTCCATTTAATAACTTTAGAAATCTTCTTTGAACTTGTCAGCCTCCCTTCGATGCTTGGATTCTTGTTGAGGTCCTGTAAGTGGATGTTAGAGGAGAGATTCTTCTGTGGAATGGCTGCACAAAGTTAACAAACAAGAACAATAAGCAAAAGCCAAAAAAAATCCACAACAGCTAAGAGTATAAGCAACAGAATTTCACGATAAGTTCCAGTTATCCTACTAGTTCCTCTTTCCTCGTCGCTCTTTCTTTCTAATCCTTGAGAATGATTTTCTCTTGAACCATTTTCGGCTAAGTTTTGTGACAAGAAAGATGAGTGTCCCAAAGTGTAGGGGGGCTTTCTGTACATTATGCTCTGTTTAGCTGAATGTTCATCAGGGTACCTAACATGGGCTGCTTCAGTAGCAGAAGATAACTCAGCACCGTAGGTGTCTACTTTCGCTGAACTGATATTTCCACCATTTTGGCATTCAGTTATCACATCTTGATCCAAATGGAAGGGGGATGACAATACAGAGGAGCCATTTTGTTCCAATCCCCTTCTTGTTTCATCTGCTGACGTATCATGGTAAAACATTACGTTTCTGGAATTAGATGAACTGTTGGTCTCTTGATTCGAATGGACTTGTCCAGAGGAAGCAGTTAAGTTTCCACTTGCCAACTAAAACCATCAGTAAATAAGGTAGTAAGAAAGTGCATAAAAGAAAAAAAACTAACTCACTTGTTGAAAGCACATACAATATGACATTAAATCATAAGAACCTTATGCACCACAGGAGCATCCACTGAAGGAATCACATTCCTATAGCTGGTCAATGAGGCTTGAGCAGAAAAACCATAGCTAGAGTCTTCGTCACACACACACGTAGCGCTGTCATTGTCGTTAAGATTAGCTCCTCCTAACTTGTTCAAGACCAACTTCTCTGATGGCTTCCTTCCAGTCTCTGAATTTTGAGATGTATTGATGATCATAGAGGAAGGATCATCCATGGTATAATGAATATTGCAACGGATGGACTCTTCAACACCATTGCCAAGGAAAGGTGATTTTATGTTATCTATTAATGGCTTGTGCTGGACTGTGACATTAAGAGGTAGGCTTGCAGTAACATTCAAGGAATTATCACTCCATTGTCGACATTCATGCTTGTGCCCTTGCCTCCAGTGAATTATTTGGCATTTTCCAGAACTGAAAATATGCAATGAATAAGTGTAGAGTAATGAGAAGACAAAAAAACAAAAAGAACTTCTGAAAAAAGCTCCCAAAGGATTTGAGATTAGTTTCACCTTTCAAATCCCATGTGCTTGAACCAATAAGTCAGTGTGATACGTACTGACTGGTATTTATAATCATTGCATAGATATCAAATAAATCACTTACAACAATCATGAGAAGCGGGAAAGAATTAGCTATCAGGTAACAACTATTTCTTTGGCTGCCACGTAAAACCATTCAAACATGTAGCTCTACTATGGGCAAATCCTCTTACCCTTGTGGCGAATGATTTGAATCAATCCACTCAACTGTCAATGCTGTATAGTGATCATCTTATATTTTTGAGGCATCATAAACCATTCAACAACTATCCATGTTATTCTTGTGTTGTCTTTCCTAAGAATCCCTTTTGTCTACCTCAGCCTCCAATATCAGCTGCTCTAGATTGCTACAATAATTAGGTATGTGGCTTCCTGATAGCCAACACTATAACACATAAAGAATGTCTTACTTTATTGCTCTATAAAATTCGAAGCTTTTAACTTTTGCCTTGAGTTGTATCAAGTGATCAAATGTCATGCCTGGTACACTTATGCATTTTTCCAACTTTCAACAATATCATCTTCAACCTCCCACTAACAACCGCTTATTGATTCAAGCAAGCAAAATGAGATTCTTTGAAGTTCAAACTTTAGCTAAATTTTACCTCCCTTAGTCCCTTTATTGTCGACTTATTGGCTCTAGCACATCCATAACATAGCAAAAGTAAATTGTTTTATCTTCACAAAACATTTGTATGCAGCCAAAAAAGCAGTATTAATAAAGATAGGCAGAAACTTCACCAGGACAGTGCATTAACTTTGAGAACCATTTCGTTTTAGTTCCTAGAAATTTCTGATATCAGGACCAGTTACAGTATATTAACAAGAGATGATGGCATGAATAAAGGATTACATAGGCTTATCTGCAGATGAGGAAAAATTTTTATAATCCTATCATATGTTAGCAAGCATTAACTAGGATGTCTAGAGGAAGCAGGACCCCTGATACATAAGACGTCTTCCATGTCCTGGTTAACATTGCCCATAGAGTGCAAAAACAAGATGCAAACTTTTGAATGAAATTGCAAGTATAAAAAAGCTTATAACAGATAATCTAGCCAAAAGGTATATGAAGGTTGACAAGGGCAGAGATAATGCAATGCAGTGAAATTGTGAAATATTATCAATTATATGTTTTTGCCAAGACTAGCTTGTGCTTGCTTAACAAGAACAACTTCAGCACCATTGATCACTGGCATATAGAATGGTTAATTTATAAACATTATCTCTTAGTAAGAAAAAATATTTTTATTATAACTGTGACTATGTCTCAACTCTCAAGATGTTTACCTATCAAATTTCTGAACCTACAACTATTATCATCTTCATCAGTGATCTATAATAATAATAACAATAATAATAATAATAATAATGACGGTCTTATTAGCCTATTTTATCTTTCCAAAGTATTCAAGAATCCCTGTGATTGCATAAAAAAGGATGTAAGGAATATGGTATTCTCCTATCATCAGATCTTATCAGCCACAAGTGCACTATGAGCCCCAACCAGTCCACAAAATAGATTTGGCAATTGACATCTTCTCACACAATCACATTATCATCTTCATCATCCATCCTTCTATTGCATTTGAATACTATTATTTGGGGCACAAAAACGTCATATGGAACAATATTTGCTAAACAAATCTCATCATCGACATAATATTATCATTACTTCCAACACCTCTTCCTTTTTTCTGTCATGTCCAATTAGCAATCTAGAATCAACTATGTTTAGAGAAGTGTCCAGTTCACATCTGTGGCAGCTTCTGATGAAGCAAAATATTCTCCGATAAGGAAAGAATGTATGGCTGTTGAAAAACATAAGAGCTTATGAAATTATGACATTGTTAGAAATAAATGAATGTAGTACTATTCATACCAGTATCTAACCGACTTGCACCTCGAGCAGCGTGTTGTAGCAGGAGCAGAACATCTACTACATTCATGAAAGATGCTTCTTGATGAAGGCAAAATTAAAGGAACATGAGCAGTTGTTGTTGCTTCTGCTTGGCAAGCTTCTTCAGCAGCAAGCTGAGCAAGCAATCCTATCCTTGCCTTCTTCTTTGCAGACTCGTTCCATATCCCAAGTAAAACATAAGTGATAAGAGGAAGCACAACCAGGAAAATGAAAAGAGCAGGTATGTCAGCTTCCCTTGGCAGAAGCATGTCCCCACCACCAGACTCATGTCCAATTTCAACTTGTGCTACTCGTAGGAATTCATATCAGTTGATCAACGGTACTTTCTCCTTTATTTTCATATAAGATCATAGAAATCCTTTTGTCTATAAAGAGACATGTTTGAAAAGCATAAAATCAGTAGCACAGATAGGTCCACAACTTTGTGCTCACTATTTTTCTTGAAGTTTCGGGTACGTGTGTACCAGAAAAAAAAAAACTACTATTTTTTTCTCTCCAAGGAAGAAAAAGATTGCTGTTAAATTACCCTTAAATAACCCAGATAGATCAGGCCCAGTGAGACATTCCTTCTGAAAATACAAGCAAGAAAAAACTGAGGAATATATATAAATATTAAAGAAGCAACAAAACGAAAGACCAAAAAATGAAAGCAGCCTTACTAGTTTTTGTTAGAGACCAACACATAATCACGAGGAGGAATCAAATCCAGGCTTGATCTACGAGTAACGGAGACGTAGCAATCTGGAATATCCTAATTCCAAGCTTTTGAACCAACTAAGAAACTTCAGCCTGAAATGTTCTATCTTCAAGCTTTTTTAACAAACACAGAAACTGAGGAATGGCGCACTGCAGGATACCAAATTCGGCATGCAAGTTCAGTATAAGATCATATCACAAAGTAACATCTCGAGAAAATGAAAACTAGAACTCAGTAGTGACTAAAAGTAAAGCTCTTCTCAAGCTCCATTGTCTAACGAAATTACTCGAGAATGCAACCCAAACTGAAGGAGACACGATGGCATCAATCATGATTCGAGAAGGAGACCGTCGAGGAGAGAGATGAGAGGAGTTTTAAGAGGGGAGGCCCATTTCATTTCACCAAGATCCCTGTTTTACAGTCTCTGGCAGAGAAGAACCAAATCAAAGAGTTAACTCCCAACAAACCCACACGATTTCTGCCCCTTGACCAATGCATGCGCACTTTTACCAGTTTCGTAACAAAAACACACATTGCATCCAGCATTTCCAGACTACTCATGAACAACAAGTTCGGAAAAATCCCTCTTGTATCAAAGTCCGAGCAAGAAAGCGCCAGAAAAAAAAGCAGAAAAAGAATCAAAAGAGATAATTTTTCGGTTGAGAAAAATACCAAAAGCGAAAAATAAATGGCACTAATTGGCAAAAGGATGCGGTTTTCGCTCTTACCTCAAAGGAAAGCGATGTCTTAAGCATCAAAACCTCGCATCCTCCGAAGATTCCCCAAATTCCTCTTGAGAGGCTATTATGACAAGGAAAGGAGAGGCTTTTTCTTCCGAGCTGTTGCTGGCTCCGTGGTACTTTTCACACACACACACACACGCACAACCCTTATGTCTCTCTCTCTCTCTCTCTCTCTCTCTCTCTCTGTAGCTGTTTTGCTCACCAGGACTAAATGGCTCATAAAAAGAAACGAAGATAATAATTAACAGACCTCCGGTGCTCACCTCCTTGTGTGCATCCGTTGGCCTTCCTTCTGTTCCTACTCCAACCAGTTGGAGGTAAACCCTGGCAGAGGAAAGAGAGTCAAAGCTCTGTAATATCTTGTGTCCTACATACAATTACGAACCCAAAGCCTCCTTATATTCACTGGAATATCAATGAAAAGGCATCATTTTTCTACGACGAGATCAAAGAAATTTGAAGTAATATTTACCTAATTGATCAGTGATTTACATGCATCAACATTTATTTTCTTAATATACAGATCAGATTGTTTCTGAGGGTCTTAATCTTTTTATGCCCTGAATCTTTCCAGGTTAATACGACACATACATGGAGCTTTGGGAAAACAAATCCTATAATTCTTGCCTTAGAAACATGTGGAGTTGCACAAAAACTTGTATTGGCATCATACCATTGTAATTGCCGGCATTTTGATGATTAGATGCACTGCCTCATTGTCCCCTTACTCCATAAGCATTCCTGTCTTCTACCATGGTTACTTTTCTTAACCAAGCCCACCAACGGGACACATGCACATGAGCTCGTTCTTGGCCTCATCTCCATGGCTTTTGTCTCATCGGGGAACATGTTATGCTGCGAGAGATGCCAAGTTTTGACCCGCTCAGTGAGGTTGCAGGGAAATCATCTTGCCTTCGATTGGAAGGAGAGAGGCCACAGGAAAAGAAAGGTTTTATCCCTTTGACCGGCTCCCCCACTCCCCAACAAGGACAATGATGCTGTGATGGCAGTGTCAAATGAATGAATGGCCGTGGGACAGAAGTCCAAGGTGGAGCCACGATCCATGAAGACGAAGAAGGAGAAGTCGATATGCCAACATCACAATAAAAAGTAGATTTGAAGTAGAAAAGTTCAAGTATGGCTTCTACTACTTAATTGATCCATTAAGTCTATATCCATCATTGTTAATTGATAGTTCTCTACTAGTATACATAAGTAGGCATGATTGCTGAATAGGGTCAACTTAATCTCACATTGGTTGAGTGGAGGAGTCAAAGACTCATAAGGCAACCGTACCTCTCTCACATTGGTTGAGTGGAGGAGTCAGAGGCGCCTTTTGAAGTTTTGTGACTCCGAAATGACAAAACCGTGCGGGTTCGATCGCACTCACCCAAAACGGATAATCTCTCGTACCCCCAAGGTACATCGAGACAGACCAAGTGATCCCCTGTCAATCTTAAACCAAAGTGATAAATGAGAATAATTTTAATGATTCAATCTCCTGCGTCATGTACTTGATGATAAATAACTTAACTTGGGTTGTACACAACTTGAGATCAACATTATTGGGCTAAGGATCACTTTACTTGATGTTCTATCTCTGTCATTCTTGGAAGACCACATTTTGATGTTCTATCTCTGTCATTCTTGGAAGACCACATTTGCATTAACATTGATGCTACACTTACCCCCACCATAGGTAAGAGTCATGGATGATGGTTAGCAACTGGAAAAGATCTAATAACGTTCATGTAAACAATATTGGATGACAACCAATGCTGAGGGATTTTAGAATATGGAAAAGCAAATAATTGAATCATTGTATAAAATATAAATTGAGTGATCAAAAGGTAGGCACTCATTTTTTAAACAAACTAGTATAGTTCTCATACATTAAGGAAGTTTTATAGTAGATTTTCTAGATCAACTGAGTAGAACAACACACACAAGGCTATGATGTAAAAAAAAGGATCTTTAAGACATTGTTCTATTGTGCTTTCCCTGCAACTCTGAAGAAGGTTACACACATGAGTGGTATAAATGTATATAACAATATAGACAATATATATATATATTGGTGTCACAGCATAAATAGATGTAAATCAACTTGCTGATCAATTCCTTGTCACAGAATTTGTGTCAGATTACCATGTCCTGTTAGCTGTTGTACTGACTACATCCTGATGCCCCCAAAGCAGCAACAGAACCATATCCATCTTCCATATATCCCCTTGCAAGTTAATGTGATAAGTACTGTGGTAGCAAAGACTATGACAGTGTTCCTAACTGAATTATATTACTGTGCTTGACAAGTTCTAATCAAACTAGGTCTAGCAAACAACTACCCATGAACTCAATGACAATGTTCCACACAGCCATGTAACCTCAATGATATATTAGAGGCAATTTGCACCTCAGCTTCCACCACAAGTACAGTGAATTAAGGGCACCTGCAGAAGCATGATCCATGAGTGTCTCTAGCTTTGATTGGAGCTATGACTACCTTATTAGAACAAAGAATATAACTTTCCTAACTAAACCTGTATTAAGTTCCACCTCAGTAAATAGCCTTTTTTTTTCAAGTTCAATGAGAGATGAGCCAATTATTGCCTATTAGCCTCAAAAATTCCATATTGCAGTCTTCCTTTCCACCATTCCATTCAAGATTGACATACAAATTTCTTTCCCTTATCTTTCTTTTTCCATTTTCTTCATACTCATGTATATTGGAAACAAACTAACAATGAAAGAACAATAGAACCAATAGATAAAAAGGAGAAAAAGATTAAAGAAAAAACGAATGGAAAAGGAAGCGATTTCTTTCATCCAATCACCATCACTACAGCCACGCAAGTCCATGGGGAGTCATCCTTCCTTGAGAGTCCGCCAGTGAAACAGACATGGCCAGCATCATTTGCTCTTCGAAGCTATCTGGAACAAAATGCCCCGGAGCCACGATAGCACTGTTGGGAAATGGAATTGCGGCAGTTCCTGGATCTATCATGACATTGGAGCCAGTGTAGCTGGTCCCTGCCTCAGCCATGTCTGACCAATGATCGGTTGAACACTCACCAAACTGTTCCCTCAATATTTCCCTCCCACTATCTGGTGGTATCGCAGTCCAACTCCCTAAATGATTGTTCTGAGCAAAACTCACATTTCCAGCAGGTAAGCTACCTGACCGATGAACCATGTCGAATACTGAGGTAGCACCACCGGCCATATTAGCAGCAGACTCAACACTGATATGCTGGCGCTCAGCTAAAGCTGCAGCTGCACAAGCTAACCCCCCATAGGGAGATACTTCTGGAGGAGCTATTCCATGGGAATTGTAGCATTCCTCTGAAAAGGATGGCCCTGGCAAAAAGCTGCCAAGATAAGCTGGATATCCTTGATGACCATGTTCCTGGTGAAAGTAAAATGTCTGATTAGTGAATGGGTTCTTGAAAAATTAATACAATTATGAGAAAATTATTTTAGATAAAAATGTATGCATTATATAATTTCATATGACCTAATTCAACATTTGCGGTAATAATGCAAATTAAAAATACTTTTTCCATATGTCTCTGAGAAAATGACATCGGGGACTGACTTGGAAGTAGGCTAACTAGCTATTAACAGATAAAGGACATGTATGAATGCACACCATCTAAAATACACATTCACCAAAAGCATGTAGAGAAAAAGTTTCACAAAGATGGCATTCTGTGGAATAAAATAAAGCTCCTGCCATTTGTCACAACACTGACTTCAACGCTTACAACCTTAACCATACATTAGGATAGGCTGTTTTGAAAAATTAATCACATAGCATCTGGGTTTAAGAATCAAGCTCTACACCAAGGTCATTTGTGGATACTCAGGGAAGCTAATGTAGTTTACGAGTCCCTACGATTAACCGAGTGAAGAGACATGAGATCTCAAAAGCCAAGAGACTTCTCTGATTGGTTAGTAAGAAAACAACAGCAAACAGAGGGGGCAGGAAAAACTCAGAAAGGAGAGAGTAGAGAAACAAGGATTAACCAACAGTCAACAGAGTGTACCAGTTGGTAAGATCTCCTAAATTTAGAAATCAATAATTGTCTTAAAGAGAGGTCTAAATAGCCAACTGAATCCAAATTTGTATGCTTGTCAAACTAGTAAGAACCAATCAGTAAGACGGGTACCAGCTAGTACCGCATTGGTACCGGCTGTTGCACCCAAAACACACAAACATTTCTACTTGTTAAGATTTTTTTGTTACCCAAGTCTACCGGCACACTTTCTGTGATTCGACCCATACAAAACTGAGCAGTATGCCTGGTATACTGCACAACATCAATCTATGATTTAAACTAGGTCCAGGCAAGATCCTGATATGGTCCAGTCCTGATATAGCCATGTTTGACTCAGAGTGACCAATTCAAAGGCCCATCTGAACATAACTGGGGTTCTTCCGCTTGACTCCAAGTTGAAAGACAAAAGTTAGATAAGAAAAATACAAAAATTAATAGTGATGCAAAATGAGAAAAAGAAAAATCAGAAGAGGCCTGCAGCCCCTTTCATTCTTGCTCTGGCGAAGAAGACCTTAGCATAAAAGATCCAAACTAGCAGACAGCAGACCAGCATAGAAAATGAAAGATTGAGCAAACTAATAAAAAACTTCAAGAAACATCTGATTATACAAGTCAAGAATCTCACTTTATCCCAATCAAAGACCCTCTTAAGTCTTAACCAATACCAATATCATCTAGCTGCCTCTTCTTAGCTGGAAATTTATTCAAACTTGATATGAATATTAAATATTACATACTTGATCCTTCTATAAAAGAAAGGAAGTACAACCAAGTTCCTAAAAAATAACTAAAAACATTAAAAAATATATACATTTTAAGTGTCAATAATTTCTTTGAAGAATTGTGCATGGTATCATTAAAGAAGTCCTTGGCTACAGATTTACATTAATATTCAAATTAAAATGTTACTTGGAGTTGGATGAATTGTACAAACTTAGAGCACTTCCTGTTCTTTATAATCTAACGAGAATTCAGCTGACAGAATACCTTATACATGAAGACCACAAGATCATTAACTGCATGACTTGGATGAAATAAATGAGTGAGCCAAATGAAGTGATATATAACTAGCACCTATGTTTGTGCAATTTATGGAGGCAATAACATTTATATCAGACCAGAAGCATCATTTTAAAGAAAATTCTGATTCATGTACAGAGAGATATTGGAAAATCAAAGGAAAACTAGTCCCATAAAACTAGAATTAAAAGGCAAAAAAAGAACAAAATTACTCTACAACAAACAACATGATGAGCATATCATCCATGAGGACATAATATCTGCTTTCAAAACATTAAACAGATAAGTCATTGAACAGGCAATAAATACACACAGTTTTAGGAAAAGGGTAAAACTTACACAGCAACTCAAGAATCAATATTAAGAATAATTTAAAATACAACAAATTTTGAAAATACTGTTTGCATAATAAACATTCATTCAGCTCAACTTCTAACAATTTAACTGTGAACTAATAAAGTAATAATCAACTTTACCTGAATTGAGAGCCAGACTGCTTCCATAACCATTATGTCATCAAGATCCAGGTCCAAATTATCAGCCCTGCATTTTACAAAGTTTGAAAAATCAAGATGAATATAAAGAATATATCATGGTTAGTGTGGGTGGTTAGTGTGGATGGATCATGGTTACACTCGTGCCTAGATCTGGATGGATCCACCCTCCATTCAAATAGATTTAAAGAATATAAGTGTACCTACCTCAAAGAGCAACATTGCATGCTTGAAACTATAAAAATTCCATCCGGAAAGCCAATTTAAGGAAAAAAGTAAGTTATAAACATGATGGCAAGATTCAATAATAACTTGATTTGGGGGAAAAGATAAACTTCCCCTCAAGAATTCTCCACATGACAAGAAAGAAATACTCAAAATTAATACTAATGGGGATAATTGATTCAAAAGAGGAGAAATTTGGTGAAATTAACTAGAAAATGGAAAGATAAGGATCTACTTGTGGAAAAAAAAAAGATAAATGGAGGAGTCATGAGGAAGAGGGGAAGGGTACCGGTACCAAAATATAGGTTTACTGCCCAACATAGCTTGGTACCAAGTAAAACTACTGAGCAATATACCTATTATGAAGCTGGACCAAGAACCCAATGTGGTTCACGGTCGAACTGACAAATACCAATCAGGACAGATGGACCTGTCTTACCAAAATTTGAAACCATGCAATAAACCAAAGATAGTCACCTTCATATCCAATAAGCACTTGGTATATCATGAATCAAATAATTTAGAAAAGAAGTATATTATATCATCTTAGAAACCTAAATTACTTGATCCATGCTCCAACTGATGGTTAAAGAGAAAAGGATAAGAAAAACAAATGTAAAGTTTGGTGGTCATTCAACAGCACGATTCCATTATCCAATCATGTACATGTTACCTTCCTCTTTGTAATTTCTAGATTAAGCCCTCAACAGTTTCTTTCATCTAATTTTCCCTGCAGCCCTTGAATGGTTGATTTGGGTCATGAGATATAAACATATGGGATTTACATCTCTCAGCTGAACTAAATGTAAGGTTAAGGTTTGATTGAGGGCTCGTTGGCCAGATCTAATTTCATAAGAGACTGACACACACACACTTATATAAAGGAGGCCATTGTACCAACAAAGATATGCATAAATGCTTCATTATCAACATGTTTGCAGCATTACACCTCTACTATGGTGACACCACAGACTTCTACCATTTCATTGACTATATGGTATTTAAAAGTCCACCTGCTGAAGGCAACAAAAACAACAACAGAGAGAAACTGAAAACACCTTCATTGTCATTGGCTCTTGGTTAATAGGCAATAGTTGACTAACGCTTTAAGCTATTCCATCATATTACCAATTTGTTCAGTAAATAGCCATGCAGATCTTAACAAAAAAGGATGTTATTGCATCTAAAAGGACCTCAGAAGATTCCAGTAAATGCTTAAGGCCTTGCACAAGCTGAACCCATCAAGCCCCCAGGTTTTTTATGATAAAACTTAAGGAATGGATTACATAAAAGCATCAGGAAATAGAAGGTCAAAAATAAACAATCATTGGAACATAAACATGCATAACAAATTAATAATTAAAAAGAAAGTTTGCTATAGAAGTCACTGCCACAGATCCTTTGTACAGAAAATAGCCGATGAAGCCAGGCAAACAACTCACACCCACTTTTCGCTCGAATCCTATTTCTTTCAACAAGATCAAAGAAAGGCCTCAGACACCCTAGGACTAGATGGATCTCAGTTCACAAGCAAGGGAAAAGCAGGACACTCTTTGGCTTTGTACAGACCGATAGCTCAATTGGTTGAGGAAAATAAATGGAAAGCCACGCGTCCTAGAAAAACCTCGGTGTGGGCTCTAATCAAAGAGAAAAATGTTTCAGATAATTTTATGAATTGTTAATGAAACTCAAGATTGACCAGCAGAATCAACCAAAATATCAAATTTGTTTCTAACCAAAAGAAGAATTTGATACACAAAATACAAAACAATTATATGTACAAATTAAAATTTTCATGAAATAGAAATAATATAATCAAGCAAATTCTTTTTGTCTAATCATGCTAGATCCAACAAGCTCAAGTATGGATCTAATCATTGCACATCAAGATCTTTAATAAGTATGAAAATCACATAAAGTCATATCAAGTGATAGATTCATAATTGGGTGAACGTGGGGTTAGTAAAATTTCCCAGGCTAAACCGACCATTGTTGATAGTTGGATACATCTCTTTTCCAGCATCAATAGTGTTGTCTTCTAGGACTTAAGAGGATGAGGATTCTGTTGGTGGTTCCTTTTTTGCTTCTCTTAAAATGGCTTATGAGAATTTATAAGTCAAATTTGAATACTCCAGAAATCTTTGTTGAAGATGTATTGATGTGGTCTCCTATTGCCTTGTCATAGGTGGAAACATTGTGGAAGTTCCACCAATTGCTCTGGAACATGCCATGAAGGCACAACATATGCATTCACCATGGGCAGCCTAAGCACTATAGTAACAGGCCATGAGTCAGCCTGTGGTTTGAACCATGCAGGCCCAACAGTGAACAAGCCAACAGGGTTTTGTAGCCAATGGCTAAGCCCAACAGTGAACAAGCGAGGCATCACACAAGCCTAAGCTACATTAAATATTCTTCACCATTGCACCTGCTTACCTCAATTGTCTTGCATCCATCCCATTATGTCACCGTGTCAGTCATGTGAGAAGTCATGAGACAGAGAGCCCATGCTTCTGTCCACACTAAATGTCTATTTTCTGCAGTTGGCTTTTCATTTCTTCTCTTGATTTGGTTTAACTTGTCACCGCTCTGACCCATTGGTCCCCTAAATAATCCTAGTGTAGTTCCCATTAGGTGCAAGGGTATTTTGGTAAAATATTATATAAAAAACAATTTTGGCACAAAAATATTTTGCATGAAATGACCCCCAAGAACTATTAATATCTATTTTAAAGGGGTGTTTTAATCCAAAATTCAATGTTTTCTAAATGTTCAAATTTTAAGATTAAGACCAAATTGCCCCCTCCAGTGTCTATGAAAGGCTGGTTGGAAAGCTAACAAACACAAATATCCCTCCCACCTCTCTTATTTTTACTGCACATACAATTTCTCTTATATTATCTTATCCTAGGCCGATCAACCTCACTTGGAACCCCACATCCTCTCTCTTGGGTCCTGCCAACTTGAAACTTGGTTGTGTATACTTTACAAACATGGCATATGTGACATAGGGATCGTGCACACTTGGATGTCAAGTGTGACAAAATTAGGCAATATAGCTATGTTTATTTACTTCCTACCACCCTTTACACAATCATAATTTCACTTAACTAGATCAACATTTTTTAACATACTCACTAGCAAGGTTCGTAATACCGTACCGTACCGGTGTTTCGACCTGGGCTCGGTACCGGTACGGTACGAAGTACCGAGCGGTACACCCAGGTGTATCGAGCACTGTAGCACTGTTACAGTGTATTGCTACAGTGCACTGATGCATTATACTGCTACTATAATAGTGCACTGATACAGTGCTACAGTGCACTGCTACAGTACATACCGCCCGTACCGGACGGTACATCCACGTATGGCAAACCTTGCTCACTAGTCACTATTACAAACTCAGATAATGTCCTATAAGCTAAATGGATAATTATGACTAGTATCGGGTCAAAATAACTAAGCTTTTCATCAAATAATACAAGTACACGTATACAAAATAATCAAGTAAAATATAATTGTCCAAAGTAGTACATCATGCATAGCATGGCTTCATATGTTATAATAATACATGATCCAAGAAAAAGCTCAGATTCATTAAGAACATTTTATACTCGATGTTTCATCCTATATGATTCCAAAAATTACTGCCTGACATAAGCATAAGATCCACTTAATGATTTCATGAATCTTCTCATTCCAAGAATCGATGCTACAAGGAAGACTATGATACTATAAATACAAAAACATTTTCCTCGATCCTAACTGAAAAGCCAAAAATCATGAATCTAGAACAACTTTCACTATCCACAAGATAAATAACTCTTCTTCTACATGCAGAATTGCAGCCTAGCAGAGCTTTTAGTAACAGTCATTTGCATGGAGGCCAAAGAAACATTAGCCTATCATGAATGTATTAAACTGTTTTAACCCAGATATTTTCATATCTCATCCTCCCATATTAAAATTCAATTTATCAGACAAAAATTATAAGAACACTTTTCTCAACATGATAAAGCCAATTCAAAAGACAATTTACATATAATAAGGCCAACAAATTAACAATCATTCCTAATGGTCATCTTTAAATCTTCACTGTACAAGCCAAGGCCTAACCACTGTCAAGCTTAGGCTGAATCATATTTGAAATCATTATGGCAAAGACAAAAGCTGGCAAAGGCAAAGGAAATAGAGACGAGGCCTCAAAGCAATCCTTCTCCTCTCCATAATGTTGCTTGGACAGGAAGTTTGCACAAAATTGAAGGAAGAGAGTTGGTTAAGCAGCTGGCTACAGAATTCTATCAAATCTTGATCAAGCATCCTCAACTTAAGTTGTACTCTATAACTGACCCTTCTTTATGAGAAAAGGATTGGATTAAAATAGTCAAGACAAAAGTAAAACAAAGGGAAAGTATCTTATTATACTGATCAAGTGGTAACTTCAGATTTATCCAAAATAACTCTTTACGTTTTCTTAAAGGTAAAAAGTTGCAAGGCTCAAATATAATTTTATCTAAGCTCACTTTCAAAATTTTCTAGATTTTGCTATGATAAAGAACATTTCAATTACTTCCTTAACAACCTAATGCCAAAGAATCATAGTTATCGTTGTCCAAGTAAAATGAGGCAACCCTTGAAAATTCATTCCTAGTTGGATTACTGGATCAGATCATACATAGTATAGGTCCCAGTAAATCTGTGGTATAGGTAAGTGTATTGTCTGCTATAGGTGCCTAAGGTGCTTGTTCTATATATATTTTTAATTACTTAAGATATGATCATGTGTCTGGGGACTTCACCGATTCAACCCTCAAGTCAACCAACTATGAGCAAGATGACGCCATGATAAACTTAATTAACTTAATGTTAAGAGATACTACCAAACTCTGGCATCTGCTGACTTACCAAGAAATTCCTCGAGAATCAAAATAACTAGATATGGTTAGATTCAAAATTCATGATAAGATGGAAGTCCAGCGCAGGAAACTATTCAACTCCCTGACCAAGAAAAAAAAGGTTTAAATGATAAAATGATGGATAGTTTCCTTTGCTGATCCTATATATGATTAGGTGGTAAGGTCGACCAATATCATATTTATTGTAGATGGTTCAGTCTCTACTATTACAAACAGGATTATAAATCATTATTAGCCAAATCAGAACAGAACAATTAAACTAGTAGAAAAGCCCAAAACAATTTTGCACCTGTTCTGTCTGGAGTGTGAAGGAAGCACGCCTGATGGCATAGAGCATGAGGCTTGAGATGAAACAAAATCGTTGGTTTGTGTAGTGCATCTTAAAGGTGGCACTGTTGAGTTTTTATTGGAGCATAAATCAATGTCAGTAGCCAGAATTAAAATAATAGTGTAAAACAACATATCTAGTGGAAAAAGGACCTGAAATTGAAGAGCTACCTATGTCACAATACTCCACTTCTACTGGATTCATTATTCTGCTTGATGAACTTATATCTTGTATTTTCTTCAGCTTTTTTGCTTCATCTTGAATTTCTTGCTGCCGAATCCTTATTTGTGCTTCGATGACTTTCTGCTCTTCCTGCATTCATGCAGAACTTTTGAAAAATAAGCCCCATCTCACAGGTCAAAGGCGTGCGAAGGTAGTACAAACTGAAATACTTACGACTTCTTCCATGCTCTTCTCCTCTTTTGTCTTCACACCTCGGTATTCAACAGCGTAATTTGAAGTTTTACAAAAGGGGCACCTTTTAGGTTAAGTAGTAAACTTCCATGGCTTTGTTGTTGTTGTCTTCGTTGTTGTAGTAAACCTTATATGACCAAATTATGTTTCACAAAAAAAAACGTAACATACAAAGGATACTGTGTAGGACGAGTTGCATCTGGTGGTTTCATCTGAAGGAAACACTCTGCAAGAAGCCACAAATTGAAGTCAAACAAAGTAAACAACATGGATGTACAGCAAATACAAAAAAATGTCTAAACAAAAAAGCTTTTCAATATCAGAGATAGATTTGCAGCACCCGTGCATATGCCTTTCATGCAGCACCTCGACCGGTTAAGACCCGGATAATACTACAAAAGTTCAGCAAAAAGGGGGTAAAAAGTTTATATCATATCATCATCGAAAGAGATGAAAAGGCAAGTATAAACAGGTAAAGATAGAAATCCCAACGAATTACATCAGGTACTTTTTCATTTGAACTGCTCAAAACTACAATACTTGAATAACCAATCAGGTGATGAAAGAAGGGTAGAGAATACGAACCAGAAAACAGATGGGACAGTCTTCAAGATCAATGGCGCGTTCCTCGCTTCCAGGGTAGCAAGGCGCCAACTTGGACTCGAGAATGAGCTTCCTCAACTTCTTCTGATCAATGTCCGGGTGCTGGTACAGTCCCTGCGGCCTCGTGTACTTGTCATCCACCACCTGCCTCCTCCTCCCTATCTTATTCCCCATCTAATCCACCTCCAAATAAAATGCAAGAGATCCTCAAACCAAGCAACTTCTCCCCGACCTTTTATTCCTCAATCTCTTTACTAAATCACCCACAAAAGCTAAAAGACAGAAAAATCAACAAGAAAAGCAACCAACTTCCCCTCCAAGAACCGACATTTCATTTCCACGCCTCCAGATCGAGCCAGGAAACCACCTCGGGTCCTCCCTCTCGCTCCCAATACCCAAATCTACATCAGCGTCGCTACAAACCCGGAACAAGAAAGCAAATGCGGCGAGCGGAGCTCAATCAAAACCCTAAAATCTAACTCGCGGACATCCCCAACAAAAAGCGACAACAACCCTAAGCGCCCGTCCACCACCCCCCTCGTCGTAGCCCAAGCTTCTTCTTATATCACGCCGCC